TTTTTCAGAATCACAGCTGTGCAAATGCAGGGCTTTTCTAAAGCCCATCCACAACTGGGTTTATTCCCTGCTGGCTTTTGAGCAGTTACTGTATGCATGGATGAGTAACACCTCCTGGTTTTGACAAGGACTACAGGGAAGAACAGGCGAGGGTCTGTGCCTTTGCTGTGACATTCAGCAGAGCACACAAACTGGTGGGCAGAGCCACTGACCTGTGAATGTAGTTCTCACGATTGGTCGGCAGGTCATAATTGATAACCAGAGACACTTGCTGCACATCAATGCCACGAGCCTGGAAAGCGACACAGAGCCATCAATGTAAGTCACAGGCTTCCTAAAAATTTATCTATCCTGGTTTTTTTGTCAGCCACATTGTTAGTTATGAACTACAACTGTGCAGTCCATAGTGGAGTCGTGGTCTTTGCTCTTCCAAAAGGCTCCCAACAGTTCAGGCTACAAGAGCCATCACTGACTTATGAAGCTTTTGGCACCAGGTTATAACAGGAACGTGTTCAGTGTAAGGTAACACTCACCAGCAAGTCAGTGGTGATCAGGACACGGCTTGACCCTGATCTAAACTCTCTCATGATAACATCTCGTTCCTTCTGGTCCATGTCACCATGCTGGAGAATTTAAAGAACAGTTGCAGTTAGTACAGTTCCAATGCTCCAGACTGGAACATCCTCTAAGAAACAGCCATATGTGTGAAACCCAGCGTCCCTACCTGCCGTGGGAACGAAGCAGGTAGGGATAGAAAGGAAGCACTTTACTTTAAGCAGGGGGAACGATAATACAGCACTGCACAGCTATATTATAACTTTCCTGCTTCTCATTCTAATATCCCTCATTACCATTTCTTTCCCAGTACATACAGGACATTTCAGAAGTGATGGGGAAGTATCAATTCCTACCAGAGCTGAGACTGTGAAGTCCCTGGCATGCATTTTCTCTGTAAGCCAGTCTACTTTTCTCCTTGTATTCAGGAAAATAACAGCCTGTGTAATGGT